TTGGGGTAAGGAGGGGATTAAACTTATCACCACTTATATTTAATTGTATTCTTAATGAATTAGAATCATATTTGATTTAAGTGGGATGTACATGTACATGTATTAATATTAAACATGAACACTGCCTACTAATGAGGGTTCAAGGTATCTTGCCATTATATGCAGATGATACATTACTCTTTAAGAACCATCAAACAACCTAAACAGACATAAGGTTTTTTTACAATTATTGTTCTATCTGAAAACTATACGTTAACGTTACAAAACGCAAAAGTGTAATATATGGATGAGGTCTAGCAACTAAGATAAAACTATCCTGTCTGTTTGGAATGAAAGTTAATGCAGATAGCTGTCTTACGAATATATGTACTTCGAAATAAAGGAATGGAACTACGAGGGCTGGTCAAAAGGTTCTAAGCCTAACAAACAAAACCAAAAAATGTGAAAGTGTTTTTTATTATATTTTTCAACATGCCTGAAAAAAACCATTCACGGCAGCTTTGAGGTCATCGTTGTCGTCATTGCGCTGTCCACGAAGGTGTTCTTTAAGTTTAGGAAACCACTTGGTGCCAGGTCTGACGAGTATGAAGGTTGATGAAGCTCTTTGACCCTACATTGTCGCAAAGGAGTGAGAAAAGGTGTCTCCTGATGTCAAGGGCTTCTTGCAGTTATTTTGTCGCCAGTAATTGTTGTTGTTAGACAGGCTATTGGTGGCGACAAAGGAGACACCAGCCAGCCATGAACCGTGTCCAGGGAACCTATCTGCCTAGTGCTTGGGACTTATTGCACTGGGCAAAAAGGAGGGCGGGGCTAATTACTAATCAGGACTGATAGGTGACAGAATGGACAGAGTTAAGGGCAAATTGACATAGCAAAGGGCAAATTGAAGCCAGCTACGTAATTAGCACTGACAGTGATCAAAGTTGGTTGGTTGGTCTGTTGTTTAACGCCGCACTCCAGCTATATGACGGCAGTCTGTAAATAATCGAGTCTGGACCAGACAATCCAGTGATTGACGTCATGAGCATCGACCCACGTCATTGATCCCAACTGCGTGGATCGAAGCTTATGACGTCAATGGTAACCTTTGTGGTAACCAACAGGATGTTAGTCCTAAGAAGCAACTTACAGACATTAATTGTTTAGATCAACGGTCGTTTCACACATACTCCCTCACACTCCTTCCACCCCATGGGGTCATATGTACGCGATACATAGTTATACATTTACATACATACATATATACATGATATACATCGATCCATAACTTTGTGACTACATTAGCATGATATACATCTTGAATAATATGAATACTCTTGTTATAAACTTTTTCCTATTATTATTAATTTATTCCTTTTTTTGTACTTATCAAATGAAGTGTGTTTATTGTTGAAATGATGTCTGTGAAGCTGATCGTGTTCACTGATGTCTGAATAGTTGATGTCTGATATCGTCATACAGATCGCAGCTTATACTGATCCGATCTGCTACTGTTTTTGCTGTTCCGGATGAGCCGGCTCACGGACAAAGAAGATGGTTTAGCAAATTGTGAAATAGTGACTGAGGTTTTAAGTACGACATCAGATCATCAATGCAACTTAAGTAAAACGTCTTGTTTAAATTGCCTTGTTTTGATATGGCCAATCCGAGCAAATTGACGATTCATATGCTTTGGTAAAAAAGACCAGCAAGAACTCAAGCATAATTGGTACCCATTAGCAGCCTAGAATGTTTCATAGGTGTTATCAATGTGGAAGCCCAGGATTTCTCTGACCTCTGAGGAGCCACATGCAACTATAGTCCTCGCATCTTTAACAGAATTATGCAATACCGCGATGATTAGTTAACGAAAATAGCTGCATGTGTGCTAATACTCACAAAGTTACAAGTCATTCCGCCGATAAGGAATATTCCTAACATTAATGACAAAAATTACAAATGTCCATTTTCTTAGCGATAAACATCATCATTGAGCTTTGATCACGTTGTCAAAATCCGACTCAGAATCGGCAGTCAGGCAACTCGATTTAGCATCGTGTGCAGCGTACAGACATTACCAGCATGAACTCAAAGAGAAGTACGTGCAAATGTAGTATGTAAAGGCAAGTATGTAAAGCTGCTAAATAACCACTCGCATTCAGGAAATATTCATTGTGGTGATCAAATGGAACAGGGGTTTGAATGAACTTACCTGTTTTTTAATATGTCTTTGTTGCCTGTTATCCTGAACATTTAGTCAGTTGCAATAAATGGTTGCCTTCAAGACAGAAGCCTGTAATTGTGAGTTGGATTACCTGTACGCCCAGATAATGTTTCCAGCTTTGTCAGCACCATACCCGTGCTCGTGGGTTTAACCAAATTGGTAAACATCTGAGACCTGCATTAAATCGGGCTTTCCTAATACATTAAGCTTATACGCCGTGATATTATTTGAACACTGTTAATAGCGTTAAAACCTAACTTCACTCACTCTTATACTGTTTCACTATTGATATTCATTTTACCATATAATGTCTTAATCACAATGTGTTTAATTCAATATACAAATAATTATTCAACTCCTTTTACATGGAAAATCACTGACCCAATCTTTCCTGATGAACACAAACACCCATATGTGATCTTACGTTTTTCATGCAGATATACATTTTTGCCATGGCCTGGCCTGTAAGGAAATAGACACATCTAAACTGAATCAGAAATAGAGGAGACTGTGAGTGTGTTTCATATTTAGATCTATGACAAAACAACATCCTCAAGATTGTACAAGAGGAATGATTTCAACTTCCCTTTTATGTCGAGCAATATTCTAGCAGCTCCAGCCTTTGGTGTTTACATTTCACAACTTTTGGGGTACAATTGGGCATGCTCGTTATCCAAAAAGAAAGAGCGTCATTCGAGTCTTGCTCAAATGTTGTTTGATCAAGGTTACAACAATCAAAGCCTCGGTATAGCTTTCAAAAAGGTTTTATGGTCCACATGTGGAGGACATGTCCAGATTCGACGTGTCAGCGACAAAAATGTCCGATTAAAATAGCTAGTTTGACTTGTGCCGTATGTACCCGTATTTTGTTGGGTGAATAATTGCTTTGACTTTGCATATATATCCATTTTATCGCATTATATATCACCGTTGTCTTTTTCGCAAAAACAAGTTACATTTTGGTTTCATTTGTCAATCAGAAGGCAATTTAATTACTGCATCTACCTTCCTACTCCAGAGTCGAGCTGGGTTGAGCTACACCAGATAGAGCAACGACAGTGGACGGATAATCGGCTTGATGGCGATGTTCTTCAGACTGCTAACTCTTGTTGCATTTGGTGTTTCGGTTCAAATATACAGGTATTATCACGTGACTATGTTTGTTGTTTAACGCCCCACGCAGCAATAGTCGAGCTATATGACAGCGGTCTGTAAATAATCGAGTCTGGACCAGACAATGCAGTGCTCGACATCATGAGCATCAATCCACGCAACTGGGATACGGTGACATGTATCAATCATCTTACGACGAGCATAGGCGCCTTTTACGACAAGCATGGGTTGCTGAAAACCTATTCTAACCCGGATCTTCACGGGTCTTCACAATATGTACACGGACGAAGCCAGTACATATTGGTATGTGATGAGAGGTTACATACCAGCCATGACAACGCACAAAACTATCCATGGTTCAATACGACTCGTAGGCCAAGTTACAGTGGAGTAAACATGCTGAATCTCCTACTTCGCGAAACCATCACCTTCGAGTACACAGTGTGTATATTATCTTCTCATTAGTTTGAAAAATAGCATGAATTCATTCGCCACCGCACTTTCGTTTTAAGACCATTCATGTGGCACGACACTAAAAGTAGCAACAGATGGGGCTGGCGATATTATACACTTGGATAACATGATATTCATCGTTAGTGTTAATGCCTGATAAAACACAAGAAATTCGAAACTGGTGAAGGCATTAGATTACCTGTAACTGTCTGACGTGCACTTATCAGTCAGTGAGTATTATTTTACGACGCTTTCAACAGTTTTTCAATATGTATTTGTATGTGAGCTAAGTGTAGGAGAAAAGACGTCTTTGATCACGGTTATGTTCCTGATGAACCAATTGATCTGTGATTCTAACCGACGATCGTTGAATCATTAAACGTCTCATTGCTGCACAGAAGACATCTGGGACATCGATGTTTTCTTGCTATATTGAGATTTAAGTCACTCATCTGGCCATTTTGATTGAAACAATGAACTAGTCTGCATAAAGGTGTTCGGGAAACGGATAACATGTTCTACTTATTTCATGCACGAAACATTTTATTGTTACATAGAATAATCGTTGGCAATTCAATAAAATAATCATCGTGGCCAATAACAGGTCCAAGCTGCTATCGGAAGAGAGTTCCAACGGCATTGGAAATGAGTTCGTCGCTTTTATATTCCTTATTCCTCATTCGTTCATCCTTTAAAATCATGTTTACTTCTGAGCGCTATAGACCATCCCATTCGAAGAGTCTGCCAATGTGCGCTGATCTTTTAATGAAGCATTTACAGCGCGGTTCTACATATCCCATTAACGATTATGCTTTCTTGGTGGTCGCCGTCTTGTTTTGTAAAACACAGTATCGGTTCTTGTTTTAGGACTGGACAACGCATATTGGCAGCACACTAAAGTAAGGAAGCTCCCTGGTAGTGATATATAAAACACTGATATTAAAAGGTGAAGGGAAACTCCAGCAACATTTCCATTGGTGGATATCATACATACGACAACATGTTTTTAATCAAGGCTGTTTCGATGTTGTAACCTAAATCCACCTGATAATAACCAATACTAGACATGTACATGTTGTTTATTATTTTTTGCGTGTAAAATGACATACCATGTGCTTATCATCAATTTTCAATCATGTCATTTGGTTTTACTTGCAGTGATAAGACGTTCATTACTAATGGGATAAACTTGTTGCTACAATATATGTTCCGTCCTGGTTCTCACAAAGAGATGCGACAGTGCCAACATATCAAGATTGGAAATCTGACACACTCGAAACATAAGGCAAACATCAGTGTCAACCTAACTTTGCCGCTTGTGGAGTCTCGACATCAACTCAAGAGCATTGGAAAGTATTATTATGACAGGAGAATTGTCAACGTGTTATTTCAGAAAGTAAACAACCCTTTGAAAACGTTTTCGGTTCTTGAGCCGGGTGCTCCTGGGACATGTAGAAAGGGAAGTGCTGAGAGAGTCACGGTGAGGGAGAGTGCCAAACAGAAACATTGTGTTCTGGCTATCAGTGCAGGCTTTTTTAACATAGACACTGGAGAATGTTATGGTAAGTACTGACCAATGCATTTTCTGTTTTGTTTGTTTAACGCTGCCCTCAGAAATACTATATTGCATATGGCGGCGGTGTGTAAGTAAAAGCGTCTGGACCAGGTAATCCATGGCCAGTGATTACTACCACTCCGTCGAGGACGCCATCAACCAAACTTGACAAAGCGGTACATTCACCTTTTAATGGGACCAATACCGACCTGGACGCCACACGGCCCGCTCAAAATTGAATGACACGTTTAAAGGTTTCACAACGTGACGTTAGCATGGGAACAACATGTGTCTATGATTTTATTACAAGAGCGTTGGGTCGTTAACTGCCTTGCTCTGGGTGAAAGATGAGCGCCCACATCATTACTCTGCCACCTCCAAGCTCAAGGCTACCGATCCCAAATGCAGTTGGTTGAAAAACGTTGATGGTGAATTGCACTGTCTAATCACATATCTTCTGCTATCCTGTTGTAGCTGTTTACTTGATGTATCATATTGCTGTGCCGATACCAAATTTTAGAGACGGTAATGTGGGAGATACTGTATATCCTGGCTATAGCCGATTGCCTACTTTCAATAGTCCATGATATTATTTTATGTTATTAATATATATTATTTATTATTTTATGTGATTAATATATATTATTTATCAATATATATTATGCTCTGTCTGTTCCATTATGACTTGTTTAATAAGCAACAAGAACGAAAACGGAACAGAATCGATATAACTGACATTCTACTTAAACGGGGATTAACCCAACTCACTCACTGATTACTGCTTTGTTCACAGGCAACATCTACAGCGATGGGAGACTGGTCAGTGACAGTGGTGGGGTGCAAAATGCTCACTTCGGCATCACTGCAGACGGCTACATCTTCGCAGGGTAAGTCGGGGTCAAGATATTGGAAGTCTTCCCCGCCAGGCGGCCCAACGGGTGTCCCCATTGTCTAAAGCGCCACATTTCCCTATGCAGAGTTGTGTTCCTTTTGCGGTCCAGAAATCTATGATCATGGGTTCAAATCCCGTTTCACCCTGATTATGCTTGATGGTTTGTCAGTACCATAACCGTTATCGTGGCTTTCAGTCAACAAGTGATAAGATCTGAGACCACCATGCCTTCTATCTTTTCTCCCTCATCAAGTTGACTTGCAGTGATATAACTGAAATTATATTCAAATAGTCGTTAAACCAAAGTCATTCACTCACCCAGATACGTATGTTGACAAAAGGGGTTCAGGTACCTGGAAAATATATCTATGGTAATTAGTTCACTGAGAATAATATTTTCGGCGTTAGGCTGATTGGCTTGTGTTGTTTGTAATTGTGTTTATTATCTTAATCTTCATCCATAAATAATCCATTAAATACATAGGTAAAGAAAACAGCATAACATTCAGATGAAATGGTCAGATACCATAGAAAATCCATTCATTTCGTTAAAATGGTATCTAACGAGAATGAGTGTAACATTCTCTATATATATTTGTACATAATACTCTTAATAGAGATTATTAATGCTGATTGTTCAAGTGAATATGACGTCACAATGTCTCATTGTTGCAAATTACGATATGTTGTCATCTACTGTTCATGACGTCATATATTGTTTATATTACGTCATCCAGCAATATGTTGTCTTCACTGACGCTTCCCTGTAGGGTTGACATTTCATGAGTTTATTCATTTTCTCTCTCAAAATGACAATGAGTAATATATGAATAACCAACGAGCTGCGAGGAATTACGCATTATCTATCCCTCGTAAATGAATGCGGCAAGTTCCTCGCCTTTTGGTTATTCTCTATGTATTCTACATCTACGTGCAGGTATCTGTCACAGCAGGATCTGATGACACACCGGTTTACCCAGCTAGTTGGAGGTGTCATATGGCTCCTGAAGGAAGGGGAGATCTATGTTGACGAGAGCATCAAGAACGAGTGTTCGACGCCGACAACAAGCATGTATCCCTACGTCTTTCCTTATTCTACCCTGATGCTGTGAATAGCTGCAAGATTGCTGATGGCGAATGAAGATTATTCGTTTACAGTATCTCAGTCATAAAGTAATCTTTTTTGCTGAGTAGATGTTGAAACGTATATCTTTAAATATAAGATTTAAGGCATAAAAGGTACACCATTCAGATTATAATATACGGCACTTGATTGTATGAAGAAACTCCAACTCAACAAGAATGTCCTGTACTTTTGGAACCACATTTCTATTTTTGATACCATAACTTTAAATGTCATTGGAACACATTGCCCACCATGGTCACCGTGAACATGGTACGAGCTGAACCATACAAAAATAAACTTTCTGAAAAGCCCTGTGGTTAGCGACACGGCACAAGAAGGGGATAAGAGTTTGATCAGTTTATTTCTTGACAAAATGCTTAATACACCAACAATTCGTATTTGGTTAGATTTATTGTAAAAAATTGTAAATAGTGCCACACAAATACTCTTGCGATACCAGAGACAATGTATGTTATTTTCTCCTTCTCTGAAAAACTCACAATCATATATCCTCACTTCAAAAGGATGGATCACATTAACCTGAAAAAATTCCTGATTTTAGTAACACTAAGAGAGTTTGCTTCAATCCAAAAATCTCGAGTTGCTGTCGGTCATGACAAAGACGGCCGCATCCTTATTGCCCATGTCGATGTGGCGAAGGGGAATACCGGGTAAGTTCAGTGACGCTTTTTATAAGTATTAAGTTCATTATGATATTTTCACCTACACCAATCTTGCTTCCAATTCGCATCCCACATGTAAGGCTTAAGTCGTCTCATTGTAGCTGTACCCATGATACAAAAACTATGCAAGGTTGTTAATTCATAGGTTTATGCAATTATTTAAAAAAAACAAAAAACATTTACACAAGAATGAAATTCCCTCCACCCCTGCCCATGTGTCTGATATAAAGTTATGAACCTATTCTGAAGTTAAAGCAAAATATCTCTGACTCTGGGTTATACAGAAAGATAAAGTAACTGGTCACGTTATTCCGACTAGCGAAACTATCGACAGATCAGCATGCGCGCACGCCCTTCATTATCCCGACCAAGACACCCATCCATGCATATTGTCAATGCAACTATATCAGTATATTGTTACAGACCAATCCTCGACCATCCAGTGTGTCATATCTCCATTCTATCATGACATGTACCCTTGACCCATTCGCGACCAGAACTTCGTTTCGAATAACATGACGTTAATATTAGACGTCCATGAAAAGCAATTACACTAGTGCTACTGTTCTGTCGTGATTGAAACAAACAGCCATATCACCAGCACTGGACTCAACTCAAATTCAAGCGGAATGACTTGTTCCAAAAAGGACCAATTTGACCAGTCAAAGTACCAAGGATAAGATTTATTTTTCCAATAGTGACTTTATAAAACTATTTAGATTCGACTGTTAATCTATCCCGAACGTGTGGTCAGAAAAGGCAATTAGAATTGTCTGTTGAAATCCAGCTCTTGAGCAAATGAAAACTTGTGCTAAGTTAATGATAAGACTTAAAAAAACAAAGCTTTGATGTGGCCAGGCAACCAGGCAAAACAATATGGAGATAAATACACAGGATAATAGAGGATAGGTCACTTCTAGTTTTAACTATTTCAATAAACCAAACTGAAAAGTGATATTTACTTTTATTTTAAAAGAGTTGACCTCCACGAGATGGCATCCATATTGCTTGACCTTGGCTTTGTCAATGCCATTAACCTTGACAGTGGAGGTTCGGCCACAACAGTTATAAACGGTACACTCGTCAGCCATCCGTCAGATGAATGGTGAGGGCATCCCAGTGTTATCTTTTGTCTAAATCATACTGCTTTGGAGACTTTTGTTGGTGGTCTATTGTACGCATATTACCGTCAAAATTCCAAGATCTCATTTTATGTTCAATGATCAATTTTAATTTGAATCAAAACTCTACACCTGTTCTTTCAACTGTTCACATGTTCGATGTACCCTTAACAATGTGCATGTAATGCGTATATATATGTGCTACTTCTAACTCCAACCGACTCCATCAGCTATCCATATGTGGACATTGGTGTCGGCTTTGGAGGAAACTTATCTGTCATTTTCTGGAGAGCCTCGAAGAGCGTCTGGTCAGTGCAACTGACACCACGAAGGGAATTGTTGATAAAATACATCATGTGATAATGGATTCTCGACGACCACACGTCACATAGCCAGTACAGAAGGCATATCTCATGAGAGAATTTAGAACATTCTGATGAATGAACTGGGCATGACAAAAGTTTCAGAACGATGGTTTCCAAGGCATCCGACTCCTGATGTAGACACGTTCCGTGTTCATCATCTCTCGTGAAAATTTACGTCGTTTTGAAGCAGACATGGCTGATTTTGTTCAGCGATATGAAACCATTTATGAGTCTTGGGTTTACGCTGACTGCACGAGTTTTAACAACAGTCCAAGCAGTGGAAACACGTAACACCCCCTCCGACGAAGAAGGCAAAGTCTGTTCCATCAACTGGTGATGGCTTCGGATTTCCGTGATTCCAAAGGAATCCTACTTGTGGACTCCGTCCCGAAAGGTTAGATCATAATTAAATATTATGATACAAGCGAAAACATCTGCGCAAGAATATCATGATCACGGCTAAACACCGTGGACAATTCACTAAAGGTGTCCACAATGCATGACAATGGCTTTGAACTCATTGCATGCGCACATCCACCACATTCACCAGATTTGTACCTTCAAATTGCAACCTTTTCCCTGCGCGAAGGGAGAACTGCAAGCAAACTTTATGATGATGACGTTTTTATACAACCAGGAGGACTAATTGTAATAAAGAAGTTGCATATCCATATATCTTATCCTTACTGAACCACCTATGGGATCCAGGCTCTCCAGCATCGTCCAAACTTGGCAGCAGTGCGTGGATCTCGGAGGGGATTATGTAGAAAAAGATTAGCAACCAACTCCATCAACGCAGTGTAACATTCATTCAAGTCTCTTTAATCCGACACTCGTTAACCCGACAATCGGCTTTATCCGACACTAATTATGGGAACCGATTAAATGAGTTTTATGTAGACATGTTAATTCAATAGTCTTGTACTCTGACTCCGTCGTCAGGTTTAGAATGTCTGAGCCACCCGTCGTAGGTTAGCGTTTTACTCGGTGAAGAGCATAAACTATTTTCAAGATTAATCTCTGACACACACACACATACACACACACACACACACACACACACACACATATATATATATATATATACCAGTATATACTCTTCAAAAACGCTATACGGATATGTGTGGCTATAAAAGCAACATAAGCGACATAAGCGGACCAAGGGGTGAAAGATAAAGAGGTATAATTAGTCGGGGAAAACGGACCCAGTGCATTAACAAAAGGGCCAAGGAGCTGCACGTACCGAACGTGCAGCAGGACTATGAGCGGTATTGAAATGCAGGGCTTTTGATTGCCTGGCATCAGCGTCAGTCGAACAGTGACAGTTCAACAACATGCCAGGATTAACAGAAGTGCAAAGAAATAACATCATAGGACGCTTGCAGACAGGGGAATCCTGATCACCGGTAGCCAGGGTTTTCAATGAATCGCATAGCACCATCACAGGGCTATGGGATCGGTTTCAACAGCATGGGTCAACACGTGATCGGCCAAGTTCGGGACGACCAAGGGTACCCATCTCCACAACATTTTGGCTCAATTCCTTGTACGGTTCCTCGTATAAATGTATGTTCCTACCTCGCACAAATCTGGCTTTGCGTTTCTTTTTTTTGAAGAGTATACACTTTTTCTAGATCTTGTGTCTCTACCCCAGAGGAATCTTAAGCCGATTCATGGGTAGCGAAACTCAGGTTTCGTAAGTAAGTGATTATATACAGGGTTCTTTTGAACTTGTACTGACTTTCTCTGCTTGTATTGAAAAAAAAACTAAGTAACTGGGGTTTCCAATACTCAGTTTTTCTAGCAATCCGTGGATAGCCAACGTTCCCGTGATTTTCCAGATTTTCGGGAATTTTAGTAGCTCCGTGACAATACATATTGCAAATTTGCCATGCACGAATGCATATTATGTATATACTTTGACATCCATCCACAATTATGTTAGTCTTTAGTGAGAGGAATGTATGTTGTTAGAAGTTGGAATGATTTCGTTTGCTCATCAGTGTATATGAAAAAATAAATCTTAATTTAATCTTCATTCAAGCAATATTCCTGTCTAGACATAACAGGGGCTTGAAGGATTAATGACAACAGACTACTCGATAACAGTGTTACATGTAACACGTAAATGCCCTTTCCTTAGAAATCAATGATTCAGATTGAATTATGATGTCGGAGTATTTTGGTGTTGCCACTCTGAAGGAGGAAAATCGATGTAATTTCAGTCGGATTTTGATTTAACCTATGACCAATAAAACTAATCAATCAAAACTGTTTTGTGATCATCAGGTCAATGCAGAGAGCTTGTATTCAAACTTTTCTAATGATTCTACTGAAGGATCGGTTCTGTTTCATGTTTTCATAGCTATTATCCAATGGATTACCTCACTCACACACTCACTCAATATCTCACTCACTCAGTTTTTCTCTCGGTATTCTACACACTCATCGCCTCTTTATTCGTCTCTTCATTCAGCCCTGACAAAATATTCAACTGTGAGCGCCAGGTGACCACCATCCTGTGTGTACATGAGCCAGAGTGTGACCCGGGTGACTGTTCAGGGCATGGGACCTGTGAGATGGGAGTGTGTGAATGCTCAGATCACAGGTCAGGGCCAGCGTGTGACATCCAGCAGTGTTCACCGAAATGCAACCAACACGGATCAACATCAGGTCCGGTTGTTATTACTATACCCCAAAAGTTTGATTTTGAACACAGCAATAATGTGTATACAATCATCTTAGTTTATATTTGACACAAGTATCAACATAGTACCATGTTTCATCCAAAAATATCGACACTGCTTTGTTTGTGTGTTTTTGTTTAGAAATCTTACTTTATGTGTTTCCTGGAAACATTTTTTCTTATATTATTCTTTATTAATAAGCAACTCTCCAACAAAAAACTCAATCTACAAACTACCAAACGCACAATCAAATACATATCCCTAGTACGTCATTCCTATACAACATGAAATTGACAGGGTATTGAGTTGCTGGAGTAAAAGAGAGTTTTCATTTTGCATGCATGCACATTGTAAAGCCCTTTGGAGTGAACATGTGTGCTTCAATCAGACTAATTGCGCAAGGTGCTTGAACAGTTGGTTAGTGAGTGACGGGTAATATTTTAGCTTTACAGTTGAATAGGAGTTTGTGTCTGAATATCTTCTGGGTTTTTTAACATGTTTCTGTCGTTTGAATACTTGTCAGTCCAAATAGTCTACTTATTAGTAAGCCGTCGAGTTATAAACAAGTCATACAATGCAAAGACTATAGTGTGACACATATTACATGACATACACTGTGTCAGATCCCTTTGAAACCCATATAAGTTTAGGTGTCATCACAAAAGATAAGAAATGATAAGTCCTGACTTGACGACCAAGGGTGGAGGTAAGTGATGACGTCACGAATCTGTTCCTAAGGTGCAAAAACCAAAGGAAGAGGTACGCGTTCGGCCTGGTCAAAGGTTGCTTCTTGGCCTGTCCCTGGCACTGCCAGTTTGGCGGAAAGGAGTCATCAGTCTTATGATGGAACAGCGTGCACAACCTAATTAGGTTTTTGCCGTATTGCTTAGGGTAGACCCCATCTGTACAATGGCTCTAAGGTCATAATCTTGGCATCATTGTTATGATCGTTTGTTAATTTCTATGCTAAATGTCGATAATACATTGCTTTTATACCCTTATACCAATTGGGATATATATCTAAGTCTTTGACATTCACATGTCATCTTAAACTAGAAAGTAATATATCATACGACACTATATCTGTCAATTTGTTATCTATATATAGTATCCAATATGTCGGAACGTTCACTACGGAACGTTCACTATGTCGTTCTTCCTTGCGCATTTTCTGAAAAATGCTAAACAATTCTTGGAGATTTTTTGGCCGCGTTTCAGAATGATCACTGATCAATGCTACAGGTTCCCATGATCACGAATGTGCATATCTTTGCAAATGAGTTCTCCGAGTTAATATCCGATGTTTAGGTTGAAAAATCATTCCACGGATAGTGGCTAAGTAAAATGTCACAAACAGTTACAGTTACTATGAACCTGATTTTGAGAGGTCAGTTATATTATTTTTGCTAAAATGACTCCAGATGACATCAAAGAAATGCGACAAAACCCTTTCCATATTCAAAATAAATTTCTGACAAAAACAGACTCGATTGAACTTTTTCGACCATATCATGAGCATGTGTTTATGAATCACTCACTTACACATTAAAAGAGGTTGTTACTGGGAAGTAATGACGTTCTATCCATATGTATATGTGCACAAATGTCTTTCAGATTTGTAATTGGGTTTTTGAGTTGTGGAAATCTGCAAATGTATATCTCACCATTATATCAATTACTCTTTGGTGTTCATACACATTCAAATATTTGTAGCACCTCTCCTTTATTTTGTTATGTTCCAAAAATCCATGTTTTTTGGGAAATATCTACTAGTGACACTGGTCCGCTGTTTATAATATCAGAGTTACCAACGAACTTTGATGACAGAACAATGTATATTTCTCCAGATGGCTCCACAATGACTGGGGCATATCATACCATGCAAAGAAAGAGAGGAAGCAATTGATCATGAAAGGACAATCAAATAGCTATTGCCATGGATTTCGCTTTCCGTATTTCAATCAGACAAGGTGACTTTAAAATCGAAAACAAATATGTTTCTTCACAAATAAATACCGGAAACGATTTTAGAAAATGCCTTTTTTCAATATGCAGGTATAAATATTACAGATGTCTCTTGTGAAAATGGCTGTTGTGGCATCAACTGCACACTACCCTATTCTGCAGGGAAGTCCCTGTACGGTGTCAACTGTTCCATACAGAATGGAGGATTGTGTGACTCGGTCACTGGGCACTGTGATTGCTCAGTGGGATTCTCAGGGAGGTTCTGTCAGTTAAGTTCGTTTATATGAGACACTGGTACAGTGATTGTTCAATGCGATTCTCAGGGAAGTTCTGCTAATTATGTACGTGTATATGAGACACTGGTACAGTGATTGCTCAGTGGGATTCTCAGGGAATTTCTGTCAGTTAGGTACGTGTATATGAGACACTGGTACAGTGATTGTTCAATGGGATTCTCAGGGAAGTCCCGTCGGGATGATATATGTGAGTAATTAAGCAATGTGATCATTTTCTGGGAATACTGTTTTGAAAGTTCTATCAATGAGGTACATTTGTCGATGTGTGTGAGGCGCTGGGATTATCAGGGACGTTCTGTAAGTTGGGTTGGTACATGTGAGTAACATGACGCTGGAATTGTTCACCGTGCATAAGAGGGAAGTTCTGTCGGTGAGATAGGTGGATGTAAGTAAATGGGCACCGTCATTTTTCACCGTCATTATCAGGGAAATTCTGTCGGTGATATAGGTGCATGTTAGTCGGTGGGCGCTGTCATTATTCTGTGGGATTATGTCGGGGAGATTGGTACATGTGAATCACTGGTTACTGTCATTGTTCTGCGAGATTATGTCGGGGAGATAGGTACATGTGAATCACTGGTTACTGTCATTGTTCCGCAGGATTATGTCGGGGATATAGGTACATGTGAATCGCTGGGCGCTGTCATTGTTCTGCGGGATTATGTTGGGGAGATAGGTCATGTGAATCGCTTGGCGCTGTCATTGTTAACGGGTAATGTGCAGGTCGTGGTAGGAAGTCAGCAGGAGTTTGACGACTCTGGTCTGTGATGCAGATGTAATATACGAGGGAGAAGACATATTATATTGAAGTGTGACAATGCGTCAAACTGTCTCACTTCATCATTCCATGACAATATTACACGAACCTGATACACTACGTAACTAAAAGGTTTCGAACAAAGATTTTGAAGTAATTATTATTAGCTAGTAAGGGTGTTTTTAACAATATACTAGCAGTCTGTATTTGGTATAAGTACCTGCATGAGAATGTAGTTGTATCATCTATGAAATCTTCAAGGAAGGGTTGCTAATTTACTCTGTTTGGTGTTTTTTTGCAGCTGGTGCAGCACAAGAGCTGTTGAAGTCCCAACACCAGTCAGACCAGTACAGGTAGGAGAGTCAGACCTCACGGTACACCTGGCATGGTCGAATCACCACTGGTAGGAACATAAACACACACAGTAAACCTGACACAGACAGGTCAATACAGATGGGCACGTCAGTGCTCACAATGCACATGTCACAGTCTGAGGATGACATCGCCATCTGAAAGAAGAAGAAAGTCATAACAGACACTGTTTGTGGCAGCAAATGTTTCTGATTGTGATATATTTCGCTTGACAGATTGTCACATGACCACCTTGTTAAGTTCTATATCGAAACTTTTGTTATAGTTTACGAACGCTACCCTCAACGGGACAGGTTGAAAAGGATAAAAACTTAATTCCTTAGGTTTTGAGTCATACAATGATTCTTCTTCTTTTGGTGTGTCAATATCATATATTTGAATGTTATGCATTTGGACATTGTCTTGTACCCTGTGAACCATAACATGGTCCCTCTTCGTTGGTGTGTGAACGACGTACAATATTTCTTCTCCTTTGGCGTGTGAACGGCACAATTGTCCTCCTTTGGTGTTAATATAACGGTTTTGTGCTTCCTCTGTAGCGAGTAAATGTCATACACTGATTATTCTCTTTTGGCGTGTATGTCATGCAAAGGCCCGTTTCCTTTGATGTGTGAATCTCATTCATTTAGGACCCTGTCGTGTGAATGTCATAAAATGGTTCTTCGTCTTTCGTGTGTTATATAATTGTAATACAATGACCTTCTGCTTCGGTATGTCAACCATACAATGGTCATTCTCCTTTCGTGTGTGAATGACATACAATAGTTCTTCTCCTTTGGTGTGTGAATCATACAATGGTCCTCCTTTGGTGTGTTAATGGCATACTGTGTCCCTTATCCTTTGGCGTGATAATGTATTTTTTTTTTTCGTTAAGCCTGTATCTGATAATTAACGAAGAGAAGTACTATTTTCAGATCATATTGGTTACTCTCCGTCGTCCTGGGTATTATCGCGGCTGTGAGCATCATCATTAACATCCTACTCCTCTTCATCCACCTTGACGTGCAGCGATGATACGGTAATTATATGAGGCTGTTAAGAAGGTTTGTCTTCCCCATTTCCAGAGACACAGCTACACCGGTTCAGATGAGTGACGGGGCACATATGACTTTGTCTTAGGTGCCGCAATTTTGTGCCGAGTTGCGTCCCTTGGGCATGCCAGATTACTGTGAATGTGGGTTCGAATCCCGGTCCGATAAATTTTCTAGGTTTGTCCGCGTTCATGGGTTTCACCAATGTGGGAAAAGACATGCATCACTCAAACGTTAAGCTGACACGCCGTGATATAACTGGAATAATGTTCAAAGCGGAGTTAAACTTAACTCACTCAGAGGGAAGAGAAAAATGGAAAACTGATCACCTCTGATATATCACTTGAGTAAGATCAAACAATCTCCCCAAGGAGACCATTGTAACGTCACTGGTTACCCCGAAGCTGGTAAGATGTACTGTTTACACTCACGTCACTGCTCATTTAAGAAATATAGTTTGCTCTACCTCTACAGTTTTGCCCCAAGTTATTGTAAATATAATCACGGGGGCGCTTTGACTTTATAATACACATGGGATTACAGCAAACTTTATTACTTTTGTAAGGTGCCTAATTTAAGGCTAAACGTGTATGTTGCTGGACATGGATTTAAAATCAAATATGTGAAACCTAAGGCCGTTAATCGCCGTAACACCCTTGAACAGGGCTTACTGACGGGTTGTTCCTTCTATTTGCCTGCCTGTTAGGCACTAGATGTTTTAGATGATGTTGATTTGATTTCCTGTTTTCGATTTCCGAGACATGTCATCATGGAAGTAGTATATGAACAGCTCTCTCGACGTTCACTGTCTGTACAGGACTTTGCAAAAGGGGTCTTTATAGCGTGATCGGTGATATTCACACAGTAAGCAGGTCAAATACTTTCATAACAATTATAAAATGTAACGAAATTTATTGAAATTTTCCATTTGTTTCGTAATACTGAAACTTAGATTACTTACTAGCTGATTCTGGAATACAGCACTGTTTCTCCGTAAGAGACATTTGCGAGGTGCACATGTATTTCAGTACATAATAAATATTAGTTATGATTGTTAATGATTGTTAAGTTTGACACATGTATCATCTGCTGAGTGTGTGATTATCCAAAATCATATTCAGCAATAAGTAGGATTTAGGATTAATTTAATTCAGCTTTATCACGTGACTCGAAGAGTTTTATGGGGCCGAGCTATCACATGTAAACATAGCCGAGGTTCTATGTCACTGGTTATTGTAAGTTGCAACATGAAACGGAGTGCTTACCGAGCGAATTTCACCATATGATAACGAAACCGACGTAGAGCGACGGCTTAGGGCTTGAAATGGCATCGCCATGGGACCAACAAGGCGCAGGAAGAGCAACAGCAGTCGTTTTGTTTGACTGTAGTGTGTTGCTAAATGCCCTCCACTAAGCAACATCTGTATATGTGGTCATAAAACGTTTCCAGGAGTGTAGCCAGAGATAGATACAATTCATAGGGAACCAACGCCCGGCTAGGACAAATGGTATTCAAATATCAAAGTTACAAGAAAATATTTCACAGGTCAATAATTGGTATGCATGGTTGTTCCATCTTGCATGCCAAGAATGATGAAAGAGGTTACCAAGGGTACATTAGATCGCAGGGAAGGTGAATTACCCGCGTCATAACGTCAGTCCATTCGCACTCAAAACGTGTTTTTTATCGGAAGAAAAAGTATTGCCTTTCATCTTGCAGCAAAGCACCCGAGAACAATGTTTACAATCTGCACATGTAGGAAGAATGATGGTGTTGGATGATAAATAAAACTGACCCTCGTGTCTTTTGAAATAAAACCTATCGACGCCTGTCGAGATTTTTCATATCAAAAGACACTCGGGTGATATTCTCTTGGTAATTGTGTGGAGGAGGTCATGAAAGTTGATGATGAATGTGATATGGAACAGGGATATTGTGTATTTATATATTTGCAGATCGTAATGCTAGTATTAACATGACTGACTAATTTAACTACAGGTACTGGTACACAGCAGCAACATACCTACAACTACATCAAGACAACACCTTAACCAGATGTTCCGACACACAGCAATGCAACTACAGGTTCAAGTTTACAGCAACAACTCAACTACAGGCACACATCGCGAGCTCTGTGTCTATAAGTGAGTGAGTGAATGAGTTGGGTTTTACGCCGCTTTTAACAGTATTCCAGTTATATCGCGGCGTGTCAGCTTAATGTGGGAGGAAAGCCCGAAGTGATGCAGGTTTCAGACGTTTACCACTTCGGTGAAACCCACGAGCACGGGTATGGTGCTGACAAACCTAGAAACATAATTGGGGCGAACAGGGATTCGAACCCACAATCATAGGTTTCTCGCGTGCCCATGGGTCGCAACTCTGCACAGCGAATCGCGGCGCCTTAGACGACTGAGCCACCCTGCCCCCTGTGTCTATAAACCTGAGAGACATGAAAAATTCTATCAAGAAGTAACCAACATATATCGACAGAACACTGGAAGTCTATCGAACGTATATAATTCTGATGGGTTATCGGCAGCCATTGTTACTTATAGATGCGTAGGCTATCGATAGATCGATGTTTTCATACACAAGACTTTTTGAGTGAAAAGAAATGTTAAGGTATCAAATGGAATTAGATGACTGATTTCATAATCTTATTTGTAACGATCAGAATCAAGCGTTTTCCACTTTCGTGGTAGAATATACAAATAGATTACCTCAAATGTCAAAACACAGAAAGTTTATCTCCTAAGTGTGTCTGTGACTTAAGTGTTAAGGGGTATTCCTGTGACTGCACTTGTCATCCTTTGATCATATTATATCCTATTAAAATGAATTCAATGTAAAAACACAATGAATTCCATCACTTCATTGCTCTATTCTCAGTGTTCAACTTTCGAACTATAATGCCAAGATGGATACGTGTACATGACGGTGACCCATCAATAGTTGTGCTGAGTTCACTTTCAACTTAGAGTTTCTATTCTGGTGAATTGATGTTTTTCCTGGCTCGTTTCATTTTAACGAGGGAGCTTGTATCTTATGGCCTCACGCCATATGTCTAATAGATCATATCTCTACAAAGTCGAATATTGTACACTGTTTGTGATTCATCAGCTACAAAGTCTCGCATTATTAGTGAGTTTTAGCTTGACGATTCTCAAAATTCCCTTCGTGACAGTGACAAGAAGCCCGTTACTAATTAAATGACTTGCACGTGAAAACTGCTTTTCAGTTTCCCAAGAAAATGAATCAAGCAAAGACAATAAAACTGTTTTGTAACACATTATCATGCAGAATACAGAACAAATCGACTTTCATTTCCATGTTTCAGTGCATCCACTTTCCACCCTCAAATATATTCTTGAAAATATTGCTACTAATAGTTAGAAAATATATATTGGTAAGTGTTAGACGTATTTCCTCAATTGTAGCATCAACTATGATATACCTACCTGTAATATTTTAATGCAATGAATTTTAATTACAAGATTTATTACAAGACTCCTCTAGCGTGTTATATGTATGAGGCAATAATGCAATCTAAACACCACTGAAGTGTCATTGTCATTTGATTTTTGCTGCTATTTGATTTTTGCTGCTATCCAAATATGTGTTTTCCCCCATATATTCATAATTTCATTTGGTTATTCATTTTGTGGTTAAAAGGTACGTGGATATAACATATAGAAAGGCTTGTGTAGCATTACGTATTTCGTGGTCATTAAATTGAGGCTACATAAAATGCTCCTGTACCTACTGATATGACATTATTATTTTGTGAAACAGCAAATAACAAGTAAACAAAACTTTATTGATGACTTCGTGACTTTGATAACTATGATATACCTACCTGTAATATTTTAATGCAATGAATTTTAATTACAAGATTGCAACTCTTCTAGGGTGTTATATGTATGAGGCAATTATGCAATGTTAACACCACTAAACAAAACTTTATTGATTACTTCGTCTGGGTTAGTGCATTTAGCGACGTTTCGATGAAGATTCTAACACCGTTAAGAAGCTTGATAACGGTGTAAGAATCGATATCGAAACTATCTTCATCGAAACGTCGCTAATTGCAATAAACTAGAAGTTGTTATTCATATAGCTTTTTATACGTTCTTATTTACTCATCAAATATAATGCAAATCAAAAGTTTAATGAATAACGAAACAATTAACGTTAGCAGCCAGATGTGCATACACATTAAGGACTGCGTGACCTACACACATATCCACATTATGATAACTATGATATACCTACCTGTAATATTTTAATGCAATGAATTTTAATTACAAGATTGTTTTACCACCTACATTGCAAATCTTCTAGCGTGTTATATGTATGAGGCAATTATGCAATCTAAACACCACTGATATGACATAGTTTTTTTTGTGAAACAACAAATAACAAGTAAACAAAACTTTATTGATGACTTCGTCTGGGTTAGTGCATTTAGCGACGTTTCGATGTAGATTCTAACACCGTTAAGAAGCTTGATAACGGTGTAAGAATCGATATCGAAACTATCTACATCGAAACGTCGCTGGATGCAATAAACTAGAAGTTGTTATTTATATAGCTTTTATACGTTCTTATTTATTCATCAAATAGAATGCAAATCAAAAGTCTAATGAATAACGAAACAATTAACGGTAGCAGCCAGATGTGCACGCACATTATGGACTGCGTGACCTACACACATATCCACATTATGATAACTATGATATACCTACCTGTAATATTTTAATGCAATGAATTTAAATTACAAGGTTATTTTTACCACATAGATTGCAACTCCTCTGGCGTGTTATATGTATGAGGCAATTATGCAATCTAAACACCACTGATGTGTCATTGTCATTTGATTTTTGCTACAACTGACGGTGACCCATCAATAGTTGTTATTTCGATAAGGAATTTATGTATGATGTGTTGGCAGTTTGTAGTAATCTGTAAACATCTTAGGACAATACCTCATTAACTTAGGAAATTACTTAATTACTTAATTCATATCATCAACTTGGAATATTTCATCCAAATTATGATAAGAGATGCTATGATACTAAGCATGTCTGTAATATAAGTACAACAAACAATTATGGCTTATTAATCTATCAAATAACAGAAACGTGTCCTATAAGAATTGATTTAAGTTTCATGTTCTTTTGGCAAATTGCAGTTTCTACCTGGTTTATCGTCCTGCTTTTTCTGCTGGTGGATATTTTGTCCCCAAGACATATCTTTCGTTTGGTAGCATGTAACAAAACTGTTGAACGAACAAAAAAGAAACCTTTTGGGCCGAGACAGTAAAACTAACAACTAAAAACGTCGTATATGGCATTGAATGTACCCTCCGTGGATTGAATTTTGTTTGAGAGACACAACATAAATTATCAACACGAGTCAGCTATCATAGATCGGGCGTCAACAGAAATATTTCCAATTGAAAATAACTCCATCCTTTGCATGAAAGATAGAATTTTAAAGAAAATATACCATAGATCTAATCATCTTAAATTCAATCGATCGCCCTTGTTGAAGGACCAGAGAAAATCATTGGATTCGACTACAGCAATGCCATATTGATGTAATGACAAATTAAAAGACGTTGGCAGTCTTTCTAACCAACGAACTGCAAACGTCCATGTATTGAGTCTGTTTCTGACATCCCAAAGACGTCGTCTTAGCCATAGTCGCATGAAAGGACGAACGCCAAATGATACCATACATTTGAAAGATTTGTTCCAGAACCAGACTTTACTCTGTGTCATTGAAAGAAAGTAAACGACTACAGCAACTTTTGTTGATTGGTGGGTCAACAAACAATAAGAGACAGTATCTCTGAAAACACAGTATCGACTAGAGAGCAAAGGCCTTGATACTGCTTTGAAACCTTGGGCCAAACCAGAAACAGACTCCACTAAATCAAACAAAGACCGCATGATATTGAATTTGAAATTTTCGATCGAGGGAATTGACAAAATTTAAGTTACATTCTCAGACAAAAATCAGTTTCCCAAAATGTGCCTCAATATTTGAAATTTCAGGTACCAAAAACAATTTAATTTTCCTATATGAACACCATTTCATGTAGGTTGTTCAAAATATAGGAAAGTGTTGCGGAATGTGGACAAGGCAGCTAATGATCATGATGTAACTTTCACTACTTGTTGCTGCCAAGACTCAGCATACTGCTACCAGCCTGTAAGTCATACAGGTATGTAACATGTAAGTCACAGGTGGCTCTACAGGTGACAAAAGCAACCTTCGTCAGTTATTCTAATATCGTGAGTAGCTCATTCTCAGAAACGTAAAGGATTTGTGTGACTGTTTACAATCTCAGAAAAGAACCAATTTTTCAACTTCGTACCCCACTATCCTTCATGAAACAATTCATTTCTTTGATCCATGTGGCTTTTGTAACATAACGTGATGAACATTGACATAGTCACATATCTATCTTCAGAAATTCAAATTCATACTCGTGCACACAGAGCGAAACAATCCACAGGTACATGTATTGATTACAGAAATATGTACAGCCGATACTGAAATGTGCTTTATTCTCATTCCTGATTCCGAAGGTACCACATGAAAATTTCATTTTTTGTTATCTCACGGGATACAAATGTGTGCTTTTTGTCAATATATTGTAGATATGCTACAAAATGTTTTGTCGCCGGATTGATCCTCTGGATAAAAGTTATCTTGTAACGCATTTTAAACGAAAGCCTACCCGTGTCCAAGTTTCGAATCTCTCCTACTCCGTGCGTTCTGCTAACACTGCTCGAGTTACTCCCCCTGACACACAACTCTGCAAATTCATACTCGTGCACACAGAGCGAAACAATCCACAGGTACATGTATTGATTACAGAAATATGTCCAGCCGATATCAAATTAAGCTTGAAATTAAAATTTTGGAAAGGAAACATCTTGATGTAAATTAGCAATGGCTTTATATGCAACATATGTATCTAACTATTTCTATATTACATACCCGTTTTAACTGTTACACATTATGTGTTCAATATATGCATATTTTGAAAGAAGCACAATTTTAAATTTATGAAGATTTTCCTGCTTACACATATAATTTAATTTTATATGAATCTGCAATCTCTGGTGTAATAATTTACATTAGTTATATTGACCCAGTG